CCCCCCCCAGTGCAACCTACTGGCCAGATCTGTCATTGCCAGGATCCCCAGGGTCGCCTCCTGGAGGGGGGCGTGCAGACGGGAGATGTGGCTCTGAAGATCAGGCAGGAGATGCCAGTGTGCATGGTTCAGAGTTGGGCGGGTGTCACAGAGCCTCCTGGAGCACCAGGCAGGGCAGGTGTCTGTGGTGAGGAGCCCCGTCACACTGAGTGGGGACAAGGCCCCCACAGCCCATGTCCTCATGCTCTGCTCTGCTGCTGTGGTGGCCAGAGATCTTGGGTATGGGGTCACGGGTGGGGACTGGCTGTGGCTTGTGTTGCTGGTACATAGTCCTCACCCCTGTCTGTGAGGATGCTTCAGAGGCACGCCCCCCTCCCTCATGTAGATCACATAGGTTTGTGCTCGTGAACATGGCAGTCCCCACTATTCCCGCCCTTCTGGAGTCATTGTTAGGAGTGCAGCTTAAAACACGTTTCTGTCCCTTCCTCCTCTGAAACCCCTTGGGTTCAGCCCACTGCCAGGTGGGTGGCTCCCCCCCCGCCTACTGTCTGTTCAGCACCCCACCTTGGGATACGGTGGCTGGGAGGGCCTCCATCTGTGGCTGCCCTCCTGAGACCTGAGAGGCCAGCTGGCCCTGACTGCTTTGAGTTGGGGACTGGGCTTCGGTTTATCCAGCTCATGGGCTGGGGGCACCTCTTGGGGGCCCAGATGGTATGGTTTTACTCTCTCTGTCCTCAGTGTCCTGCCCAGGGCTAGAATGAGGGCTGAGACAGTGTTTGAAGCATGAATGAGAGAGTGAGTGAATGAGTGAGTGAGTGAGTGAAGGAGTAACTGAGAGTGAGTGAGTGAAGGAGTGAGTGTGTGAGTGAGTGAAGGAGTGGGTGAGTGAGTGTGTGAATGAGTGAAGGAGTGAGTGTGTGAAGGAGTGAGTGTGTGAAGGAGTGAGTGTGTGTGTGAGTGAGTGAAGGAGTGTGTGAGTGAGTGTGTGAATGAGTGAAGGAGTGAGTGTGAGTGATTGAGTGTGTGAGTGAGTGAAGGAGTGAGTGTGTGAGTGAGTGAAGGAGTGAGTGTGTGAGTGTGTGTGAGTGAGTGAAGGATTGCGTGTGTGAGTGAATGAGTGAGCAAAGGAGTGTGAGTGAATGAATGAGTGTGTGAGTGAGTGTGTGAGTGAGTGTGTGAGTGAGTGAGTGTGTGAATGAGTGAAATGTTTATCCGAAACCGGTCTTGGTGGCCACTGTATTTGGGTCCAATGTGCAGGAAGCACTGTGTACATACCAATCCTGAGGGTGGTGGGTCAGGGCTGCCTGATCTCAGGGTGGGCTGCGGCCGGCCTTCCTCAGCTACCCAGCACCCTTCCCCGATGGGGCCCTCCTGATGGGATTGCCCCTCCTGTCCCGATAGCCAGGTCCCTGTGTGCACCCCAGGTTCAGGACGTGAAGCTCAGGGCATGCACATGGGCAGCGGGTGTTTGTGACCAAGGCAGGGTGTCTGGAAGGTCCTTAGGGCTTGACCCAGTGCCCCTGTGAGTGGGCTCCCCCGGCCTGTCCACAGCTGTAAACTGCCCCCAGCATAAGCCTCTCTACTGGGCCGGCCAGAACCACTGTCTGTGGCTGGAACTGGGCTGCGTGGGTCAAGGAGCAGGACCCCGAGTGCCCAGCCCTGCACCGCCGGGCCGGTACCGTAGCTGCCTGGGGACCTTTGATGTGAGCGGAGGGACTGAAGTGGGTCAGCTTTGTCGATGTCCTCGAAGCCACTACCCGAGAGTGGCCTTGGTCTCAGAGGCCGCGTGTGAGGTGCTGGGAGATGCCCCAGAGCCAGCACAGGCTGGGCTAGAATTCTCAAGCAGCACATGGTGTCCGTGCCACATAGCAAGGGGACGTGCCATAGGGGCTTTGGTCTGGAGGTGTTTGGAAGATGGTGGTGGTGATGGTGACGGGGTGGCGTTCGCTGGCCAGTGGGGATGCAGGCCTTTGGGTGAGAGCCTTGTTGAGCTCAGCTTACATCTAGGTCTTTGGGTGGGTAAGGAGGGCAGCCCAGGGTGGCCTATGGACCTGGGAAAGGAGCAGGTGGCCCCCCCTCCACAGTTACCTGGCCCTGCTAGGGGGCCCTGCCTGGTGCAAAGCCCAGGGGGGCTCCCAGTGTCCCCAGTCTATCCTGGGGGAACCTGGGGGGGTCTCAGCATCTGCCCATCTGTCCCTGGGGACCCCAGGGGACACCCAGCATCCCCCTGTCTGTCCCGGGAGACCCTGGGGGCTCCCAGTGACCGTCCCGCCTTGTCTGTCCCGGGAGACCCTGGGGGCTCCCAGCATCCCCCTGTCTGTCCCGGGAGACCCTGGGGGCTCCCAGTGACCGTCCCACCGTCTGTCCCTGCAGCTCCTTCTTCTATGCCTTCCTGAATCTGCTGGTCAGTGCCCTGGTGGTCTTCCTCGTCTTCATCGCCAGCACCATTGTGAGTGTGGGCTTCACCATGTGGTGTGATGCAATCACTGAGAAGGGCACCACGCCGCACAGGTGCGCTGGACCCCCACCCTGGAGCCCCCCACCCTGCAGCCCCTGCCCTGCACACCCCCATCCTGGAGATCCCCGCACTGTAGACGCCCTGCCTTGCAGGCCCCCCACCCTGCAGACACCCCTGCCCTGGAGCCCCACGCCCTGCAGGCCCCCCACCCTGCAGGCCCCCTGCCCTGGAGATCCCCCCTGGGACACCTCTGCTCATGCCCCACCAACCTGCAGCTCTGACCCCCATGCCTGACCAGCCCCTACAAGCCTCCTCCTCGGCTCGGAGGAGGCCCTCTAAGATGCTGCACCTTTGCCCACGGGGTAGACATGGTCGGAGGGACTGCCTGTCAGGTGTCAGGGTCAGGTGCCCAGCACTGCCTCCCTGCAGGCATCTGTGTGGCCTCAGGTGTTGACCCTAGAGACCCCTGTCTGCCCCCTGGTGAAGCCCCGCACCATTGGTGGTGACCTACCATCTGCGGGCTGCTCCTGGCTGGCTGCTGTGTCCTCCCAGTGCTGGCGGGCCCCGCCCACCCGGTGTCCTGCCCTTTCAGCTGCGAAGAGCTGCAGGACCTCGACCTGGAGCTGGCTGTGGACAACTCCGCCTTCTACGACCAGTTCGCTGTGGCCCAGGTGGGACTCCGGACAGGAGGGTGTGTGTGTGTGTTCGCACGTATGTGGTGCTGGTGGAGGGGTCCTGGAGGCAGGGTTCCTGGGGGGGGGAGGGCTAGGGGCAGACAGAGCGTCAGACCCAGCCCGGGGGCACAGGCCCCAGCTCAGGGAAGGAGACGCCTAGATGCCAGGGCAAGTGGGGAGACGTGGCTGCGTGTGTGCTGTGTTGGGGGCAGTCAGGGAAGGCTTCGTGGAGGAGGGGTGGGGAGCAGGGTCTTAAAGATGGGGTGAGATTTTTGTGGGGATGTGGGGTGGGACATTTAATTTAAGAGGGGGGTGTGTGGGAGCCAACGTGCTCTGAGGGGTGGGTGGCAGGCAGTGCAGGGGGACTAGAAGGCAGACTGGGGTCTAACAGCCTCAGCCCTGGGGTCTTGAACACCAGGAGCTTGGATCCTGTCATGGTGGGAAGTAGGCCTGTTGGAACAGATGCTGGAGGGGTGCCCAGTTACTCCCAGGGAGGGAAGGTAGCAGCCTCCATGCTTGGAGATCTCTCCAAACCAGGAACTGTGGGTGGAGACCCTCTTTGGCCTGCGCTCCAGGAGGTGGTGGCCCAGGAGGCAAGATGCTGGCTGGTGAGGGGTTTGGGGTTGGGGACCCTGTTTGCTGGAACACATCAGCAGTTGAGGAGGGCCATCGGGCAGGACCTGAGGTCAGGCCTGGTGCTCGAAATGCCATCGGACCTGGGCAGAGGACAGGTGTGAGGGGTGGGGAGGCTGGGAATTGCATCCCCCACCCCCGTGACCATCCAAGCCCTCCCCTGAGAAGCCCCGAGGCCTGCCCCCAAGTTCTTTCAGAGCCGAAGGTACCTCCACACCCATTTGGTGGGAGACGGCCTGGTCTGTGGCAATCAGTTCAGGTGGGGATCCTGGACACTGTGCCCCCAGGAGAGTCTGTTCCCACTCGCCTCCTGGGCCTCATTCCGATCACAGCGTGTCCCCACCCTGGTGTGTCCCCACCCCAGTGTGTCCCCACCACAGCGTGTCCCCGTCACAGCGTGTCCCCACCCCAGCGTGTCCCCATCACAGCGTGTCCCCACCACAGCGTGTCCCCGTCACAGCATGTCCCCACCACAGCGTGTCCCCACCGCAGCGTGTCCCCGTCACAGCGTGTCCCCACCCCAGCGTGTCCCCGTCACAGCGTGTCCCCACCCCAGCGTGTCCCCGTCACAGCGTGTCCCCGTCACAGCGTGTCCCCGTCACAGCGTGTCTCCGTCACAGCATGTCCCCGTCACAGCGTGTCTCCGTCACAGCATGTCCCCGTCACAGCGTGTCCCCACCACAGCGTGTCCCCGTCACAGTGTGTCCCCGTCACAGCGTGTCCCCACCCCAGCGTGTCCCCGTCACAGCGTGTCCCCATCACAGCGTGTCCCCGTCACAGCGTGTCCCCGTCACAGCGTGTCCCCATCACAGTGTGTCCCCGTCACAGCGTGTCCCTACCACAGCGTGTCCCCATCACGGTGTGTCCCCAGCAGCTGGTTGGAGACAGCAGAGGTCACTCTGTCCCACTGAGTGGAGGCAGTGGGTGGCTGCCCCACCCACTCCTCCGTGGCAGAGTCCCTCAGAGCAGTGTGGAAGAGTTACGTCAGGGTGGGCCCAGCCCACCGCAGGCCTCCGGGGTGGGGTGAGGCCTCAGGCCTGCCCCTGTCTCCTCCCCCTCTGCACACCCATTCCCCTCTCAGTGTGTGTGGCGGCCTGGACAGGTGTGTGCCCGAGCCCCAGTCAGCTGCAACCTGGTGAATGGAGAGTGGGCCCCTGGGGCAGAGTGGGGCTGCCCGCTGGCCCTGACCCTGACCTCTCCCTTCTCTAGTTTGGCCTTTGGGCCTCGTGGCTGGCCTGGCTGGCCATCACCGTGCTGGCCTTCCTCAAGGTCTACCACAACTACCGCCAGGAGGACCTGCTGGACAGCCTGGTCCACGAGAAGGAGCTGCTGCTGGCCCGGCCGGGCCCCCGAGCTGCCTGCCGGGAGGACAAGAGCGCTGTCATCTAGCGCCCAGCCCGGGCCCCGTCCCCAGGGCCCTGCCAGGTCCGGGGAGCTGGGGCTGTACTCGTCCCCAGCCACGCGTAGCTTTGCATGCCTCCTCCCTCCCAGCCCTGTGTGGACTGCAGATGCCTGGGCCCTCTGAGAGCCCTGTGTCTTCCTGGGAACAGGGCAGTGACTCAGGTGGGCACTAGCCTCAAGATGGGGTGGTACAGAGACCTGGGCTGTGAGGAAGCCTGTCACAGGCACCTGAGACGAGGACTCTCAGGTGGGGCCCTCCAGGGGTCCTGTGGGTATGGACACACATCTGTCTCGCAGGACTGGCCTGGAAAGCCGGGGGGGAAGGTGGGCACTGCCCTTCGGGTCCTCTGGGGTCTGCATTCCATGCTCTGCCCCAGCACTGGGCCTTGCCCGTATGTGTCTCCACCCCTTGCCCAGGTGTGAGGCTGCTTTGTGGCTGGTTGCTTGTGTGCATGACCCCGAGCACCTGCGTCCCCGGAGTGACTGCCTGCTCATGATGGCCAGATGCTCAGTGTCACTTACTCCTGAACCTGGGAGCAGGACCTCGAGTGTGGGACACATCACTCAGTGTGTCCCCAGCCTCTGACTCGTGGTGCCCCTCCTCCCCGCTGGGGGCTGAGCCCCCTTGGCTCCTACTCCAGGACCCGTCCCTTGGGGGCCAGATCCAGCCTGGGTACAGGGACGGTGGTGTCACCCTGGATCAGGTAGCGTCTGTGTGCATGTCCTGGGAATGGCCTTACTGCCCATGGCAGTGGCCCTTTCAGAGGTCCCCTCTGTTCTCTGCTTGGGGGCCTGGCCAGGGGAGACCATATGGTCTGACTGGGAGAGGCCCCAGTGAGCTTATTTCTGGGTGTGTGGGCTTGGTTTGTGCTTGGGGTGATGAGTGGGGGTGTGGTGGGACAGGGCTCCCCCTTATCTCATAAGGGAGAGAACACACATGGAAGGATGGGCCAGGTGTCATTGTGGGCATAGGTGTGTGCGTGGGTGTGCGTACAAGGAGTGTGTGTGTGAATGCATGTGTGATGGTGTGTGAGGGTGTGAATGTGTATGTGACAGAGTATGTGCATGTGAGTGTGTGAGTACATGGAAATGTGTACATGTGTTTATATGTGAGTGATACTGTGTGCATGAGTGTGCATGCATGTATGTGTGCATGTGTGAATGCACTGTTTGTGAACCAACTTGTGTGTGCATGCATGTGCATGAGTGCATGCATGTGCATGTGTGTATGTATGAGTGTACTTGTGTATATGTGCATGTGTGAGTGGATGCACATATGACTGTGTGTGCATGAGTGAATTTGTATGTGTGGGTGTGTGCATGCATGTGCATGAGTGCATGCATGTGCATGTGTATATGCATGACTGAACTTGTGTGTGCATGAGTATGTGTGTGGGTGTATGCATGCATGTGCATGAGTATATGTGCATGTGTGTGTACATGTGTCTGTGCATGAGCATGTATGTGGGTGTGTGCATACCTGTGCATGAGTGCATGTATGTGGATTCATGTGTGCATGTGAGTGTACTTTGGTACATGCATGTGTGTGAGTGGATGCATTAATGAGTGTGCGCATGAGTGTACATGTTTGTGCATGTATGCATGCATGTGCATGCATGTATGTGTGCTTGCATTTTCTTGCATGTGAGTGTGTACATGTGAGTGTGCATGTGTGTATTAGTGTGTGTTTGCATGACTGTACTTGTATGTATGTAGATCTGTGTGAGTGGATGTAGGTAGGACTGTGTGTACATGAGTGTACTTTTTGTGGATGTATGCTTGTGTGCATGCATGCATGAATGCATGTGTTTGCATGAGTGTACTTGCATGTGAGTGTGTGCATGTGTGTGAGTGGAAGCATGTATGAATGTGTTTGCTTGAGTGCACTTGTGTATATTTATGAGTGTGTATGTTTACATGCTTCCTTGCATGTGTGTACATACATCTGATTGTGCATGTGTCACTGTGCATCTGTGTATGTGGATGTGTGAGTGAGTATGTGTTTGCATGAGTATACTTGTGTGTGGGTGTGTGCGTGTGGGGGTTTGCATGTGTGCTTGTGTGTGGGTGTGTGCATATGTGTGCACGCATACACACATGTGCATGTGTTTGTGTGAATGTGCTTGCATGTGACTGCATGCGTGAGTGTGCATGTGTGTGACTGCATGCATGAGTGTGCATGTGTGTGACTCCATGCATGAGTGTGTGTGTGTGTGTAGGTGCATGTGTGTTTGTGTGCATTTACTGTGTGTGAGTGTGTGCATGTATGCATTCTGGAAGTTGCAGTGAGTGAGCTCTGTGTGGGGTGGAGGTCAGAGAGGGAATGAGTGCATTGAGGTGCCCCCTTTGGGTGCTTGCTGGGTGCCTTGTTGCCTGAGAGGAGGATGCTGTTGCCTGACTCTGTAGGGTTTGTTGCACTGAGGCCCATGCAGGAGGTGACTCCCCAGCCCATGTAGGGCTGGTAGAGGGGCTGAGGGAGACCAGGGCCCCAGAGCTGGTTCCTTGCCTCCGTGAGGAGCCACTGGGGTGGCTGGGTTGTGTGGCTCCAACTGCTGGAGATCCAGGCGCTGGTCCCCAACTCCCCCAGCTGTGCACCTCCCCCCCCACGAGGGGAAGCAGCCTGCAAGCAAGCTGTCCTTGCTCCCCGGGGGGTGGGAGCCCTGGGGTGGGATGCACACGTTTGCCTTCCCCTGTGCTGTGAAGCTCATCCCTGATGCTGTCATCTGTCCGGCTCTCCCTATCTGTGGTGACCCCTGTCCATCACCACCACTGGCTGATCTGTGTCTCCAAACAGAGAGGTCCCCCTGGCTCGGACCTGGTCTGGATGCCTGGTGGGGTTGTGCTGAGTGTGGAGTGAGGTTGCATGTCAGGGCACTGGCAGGGTGGTGTCCAGGGTCCCAGCATCTTAGTGTTCACTGTGTTGTCAGGGAGCAGCCAGGTCCTGACGGAAGGTGCTTGGCAGAATTTGAGGTCCCAGAAGCCCATGTGGAGCCCCTGACCCCGATGGTCTCATGGGCCCCAATCCCATGACACAGGATGCTCTCCAGCCCAGTGGCTTCTTGTCAGCCCAGGAGGTGGAGTGGCTCCTGCCTGATGCTGGGCCATGACCCCTCCATCGGGCCGGTGGCCATCGGGACCCCCCCCCCCCCGAGGGCCAGGGCTGGGCCCGCGCTTGGCAGCTGCCCCTCCTGGGTTTGGCCTTGGCTCTGGGCTCGGGAGAGGCCTGTGTCCACACTGCTTACATGTGTCTCCAGTGTCGGCTGTGGCCACACCCCAGACACCAATGCTCTGGGAAGTTTCAGGAAGGGGACAGCCTGAGGCATGCTGGGGTGCCAGCAGGTGCCCCCAGAGGAGCTGAGTGCTGGGGCGCAGGAATAGGGTGGCACACTCCCCCTTTGCTTCCCCCCCACAGGGGGTTTGGTGACAGACGTCTCTGTCCCCACCTTTCCTCTGGCTTGGCAGAGTGTGACTGTTCTTAGGTCTTACATGTAGCTGTTTCTCAAAGTGAAAATAAAACACTGACCCTCGCGCAGACACCGAGGAACCCGCGTCTGTTTGCTGCCCATCTCGTCGGCTACCCTCGCTTCCAACGTCTCTGTGTTAAGAGAAGATCTCTCACCAGTTGCTTCATCCGGAACCGCATCAGGAAGTGGCCCCTGTGGGTGTGATCTGGGGCCTGTGTCCCCACGTGCCCTCCCCCGGACCCTGTGGGTGTGATCTCAGTTGGGGCTCTCGGCCCCACCGCGCCCTCCCCTGGGGTGGCTCAGGCTGGGGTGTGAGCCCCGGAGCAGGGTATTTCCAGAAACATCAGGGCCGTGTCGTGTGGGACAGTGCCATGGGCGGTGGGACAGTGCCATGGGTGGTGTCCCTGTCCCCAAACATGTCTGGGACCCCCAGCTGCAGATGTCATCCTATCTGGAAACAGGTGCTCTCAGTTACGGCAGGAGGTCATATCAGGGTAGGTGTGTCCTGAGCCTGTCACTCGGGGGCATGAAGCTAGCAGATAAAAGCAGGTGGACGATGAGAGCTGCCACAGATGGCCGAGGAATGCAGGCGCTCAGGGCCGGGGGGGCTGAGACAGGGTGTTCCCCAGAGCCTGACAGCTCCCCCAGAGCTGGCACCCTGAAGTCGGACTTCCAGGCTCCTGCACTGTGAAAGGATGTGTTTCTGTCCGTTAAGCCGCCTGCTGGTGGGTCCCTGTCCGGGGCCCACCGCACCTGCCTGTGCACTTCAGGGGAAGATGAGTGGGGTTGGGGGAGCCGATGATGTGGGAGGCGGTAGCCATGGTGATGGCCATCCTGCCGGAGCCCCTCTGCAGTCCCGAGGGCAGCGGACCCTACGTGGTGGCCCCCACCGAGCCCCCAGGAGCACTAACCTGCAAAGACCCCCACACTGGGGTCCTGAATTCTGAAGCTGGGAGAGCCCCTGCCCAGGTCCCCTGACAGCAGCCCAGGTGAAGGCCAGGCCTGGGGCCGTGCCCACTGCGCTCCTCACAGGGACTCAGACCCAGTGGTGAGGGGCCTTTCTAGACGCTTTCTGGTGGGGGGAGTCGTGCAGGGACCCTGAGGAGAGGGCTGAGCCAAGGGGCGTGGGCAGAACCCCCACCCCGCCCCCACTGCTAGGAGAGAGAGCCCCGGCCCTCTGTCCCATTTTCCTGGTAGAAACCCCAAGACTGGAAGAGGCCACAGGCATTTTAATAGGAGTGATTTTCCGCAGAGGGGAGCTCGGGGCACGCGGTGAGGGGCAGTGCTCGGGTGGAGCTTCGGCTGGGGCCCTCGAGTCTCCGCCCAGCCCTGAAGAGGGTTCTGCAGGCGGCCTGCAGTGGCTCGTCCGCATGCCCCTCCTGCTGTGGGCCAGGCCACCCTGGCTCAGGGTCTGAACCCGCTCCGTGCCTGGCCCAGTGGGGCCTCAGATTTGCTACCGTGTGGCCTCTCAGCCTGCAGGTGGACATGACGGAGGACGAGTTGCGGAGACCTCAGGTCCTGTTGCTGAGCTGGGGTATGGAGCTGGGGCGCTGAGCTGGGGCGCAGAGCTGGGGTGCAGAGTTGGGGTGCTGGGCTGGGTGCAGAGCTGGGGTGCTGGGCTGGGGTGTGGGGCTGGGGTGCAGAGCTAGGGTTCAGAGCTGGGGTGTGGAGCTAGGGTACAGAACTGGCTGGGTCTGGGGACAGCCCAATACTCTGAGAAGCAGGGCAGGGGATACTCCCAGACTATCAGGCTGAGTGAGGGATCAGACCAGGGGTCAGAGGTGGGCTTGCAACCTTATACCACCGAAAAGGTGGGGCCGTGGGACCCCAAGCACATGTTTTCAGGAGGGGCCCGGCCACGAGACACCCTCTCCCTGTTGGCTCTGAGAAGGTCCACGTCTCAGCTTCTGTGGCTCCTGCCTCCTTGGTCATCTTCTTTCCCAGTGGGGTCTCTGAGGTCCTGGCAGCGAGGGTGGGTGTGTCCCCTTCCCTGAGCCGTCCACAGATACTTGTTCTACCACAGTGCTGACCAAGCCAGGGGACACCGAGGGCTTCTCGCCGTGGTGACTGAGGAGCCTGAAGGGCGAGCCTGGGGCTGGAGACCAGGACTCCGACTTCTGGAGGCTGTTGGTCATTGCTGTGCGCGGCTCTGACTCACTGACGCCATGGAAACATGGACCCCTGCAGGCCCGGTGCCGCTGTCACGTCTGCTGGGGTGTGAGCCCATCTCAGGCTGCTTCGTGTTGTCACTTTGAACGGTGGGGCCCTTTCTCCAGTCAACTTTCCCAGGGCCCTGACCTGGAAGGCAGGAGCGGGGCTGGGCTGTCCTTGCCTGTGCAACCCTAATCTCTAGGTGTGGGGGCCCCTCCCAGTCACCCTCGCTGCCCCTGAGTCTGGGGGCTCACAGGCCCCGGGGGGCTCTCTCTGGCACAGCAGTCCCCCGCCACCCAGAGCCCAGGCTGCCACAAAGCCCCCAGACCTGCTGTGGGCCCCTGCTGTGCTGTCCACCCGGCCGTGCATCCGTCTGTCTGTCAGAGTTGCAGGAGGGAGCGCCAGCAGGTGAGGACTGCATGCCGCAGGCGCAGCGCGAGGACCAGGACCCTGGCACGGAGGTCCTCGAGGGCCAGCATGACGGGCTTGGTGCGGCCACAGCACAGGCCCAAGGCCACCACGAACAGGGCACACAGGGTGAGTCTCAGGAACAGGGAGCTGCTGCCTCGGGGTGTAGGCCGCCTGGGCGCTGGGCGTGCAGACAGGGTCAGGGCTGCACGGGTAAGGCTGTCCCCTCCACACCACAACCCCTGTCCGCCTAGCCCTCACTCCTGTGAGGGAGAGTGGCTGTGGTAGGCAGAGTTGGCTGGGCACAGAGGTGAGTGCTCAGATGGGGTCCTGGGTGTGTGACGGGGTTGCCTAAAGCCCTAGGAAAGGTAGGGGCAGGGGTTCAGAACTTACCTCTAATGGTGGCGGTGCTGTCCCTGCAGGCGATGTCTAGGGTTGAGAACAGAGGTAGGCTCTGAGAGGCGGGGCCTTGCCCGTCCTGCCAGGACCCTGAGGTGGTGTGATGGGCACAGGAGCACGGGTGAGGCCCCAGGCTCCGGCAGGTCCCCCTGCCCAGGGCTGCCCTTGCCTGGCTGTCTGCTGGCCCTGTCCCTAAACTTGGACCGTGTTTATTTGCCGAGAGGCCTGCTGGCCTGGGAGCAGGGTGCCCGGACCTCGTTGTGTCCAGTCAGGGTCACCTCAGATCAGCATGGCCCAGGTCCTGAGGGGTGCCTGGGTGGTCAGCTGAGCAGGACACAGAGGGGCCCGGATGCGGCTCACAGAGGCAGCAGGGGCTGAGCCCACCTGTCCAGCCCTTCTCTCTGGGCACCCCCCGACCCTCCAGACTGGCTTCTGGGCTGTTGGGACTCCTGAGAGAGTGCTCTGTGCGCAGCGAGGCCTGGAGCCCAGGGACGAGGGGGAGCAGAGAGGAGAGGGTCAGACATCTTGCAGGAAGCCTGGGTGGTGGTGGGAGTCTTGGTCCTGGAGGCGTGGCAGGGCTGCGGAGGGTGATGATAACTGTGTGGGAGGAGTCTTGTCCGCCAGACTCTGGGTCTCGTCCTCCAGGTAGAAGTGATGGGAACTGGCCAAGGCCCTTTTGGGGGGCTTTGGTAGAAGGCCCTGTGACCTTGTCCCCTGGGACCCACACCTGTGTGTTGTCCCCTTCCCTGGAGTGCAGGTGGCTCTGTGACTTGCTTATAATCAAGAGATCATGGCAAGAGGAGGGCGTCACCCATGTGTAATCTGAGACTTTAAGTGGTCGACTTTGAGGGACTCAAAGGGAGGTCATGCTGGGTGGGCCTGACCTCATCAGGCGGGCCCTTTAAAAGACAATCTGGAGGTCAGAGAGAGATGCTGTGGCTGGGCTTGGAAAAGCAAGCCGCCTGAGGTCGGCAGCAGCAAGGAACCCAGTTCTGCCAGCACTGTTGAGCTTGGAAGAGGACCCCAGTCGCCGGGTGCCCCACCCTGCTGTGGACTCTGCACAGAGGAGCAGCCAGGCTCCCTCCGGCCTCCTGCCCACGGACTCTGAGCAGCGTAGGGGACGGTGCCTGGAGGGCTCAGGCTGGAGTATTTGTTGCACAGCACTGCTGACTGGCACAGGGCCGTGACCCACAGGAAGGGCCCCGTGGGGGAGCGAAGCGGGCGGGAAGGAGATGGCAGGCTGCCCAGGCATGAGCCCCGGGCTGCTGGAGGTGTGCAGCGAGTGGGAGGCTGTGCCCGGGCTGCGGGGGCACCGGAGCTTCCGGCGGCTTGGGGAGAACGCCTCCCCACTCTGCCTCCTCAAGGGGACAGGGAGCCTTCACCACTTGCTGTTTTCTGGACTAGACTATGCCCAGACCGACCCTGGGGCCCGGGGTCTCCCAGGGTTATGCCTGGGAAGGAGGCCCTGGGTGATGCAAACGTTCGCAGGCTCAGTGGCCGAGGAGGAGCCTTGGAAGACAGGGCTGGTGACCCGCTGCTCAAGGCTGAGCCGTTGAAAACCTTGTGGAGCACGGCTCTGCTCTGACGCATGGGCGCCATGACTCAGCGGCATGTGTCCGTTCCTGGGCATCCCGCTTTTCTGGCTGGGAAGACAGCCAACGACCTGGCCCGGCCAGAGCTGTGTACACGCTGCCTGTGATCTCACTGGGGGTCCGGACGTGGCTCCCCACTCGTCCTCACTGGCCCCAGTGCACCCTCGCCCCACCCACACCACACGCTTTGGACAAGGCACCCCGCCAGCTCTCGCCTGCCCCGACCACCCCAGGGTGCCTGAGCCCCACCCCACCTCACCCCTTAGACACAACAGCCTCCCAGCATGCCCTTGCCCCCCAGTCACCAGCCCTGCACTCCTTCCCCACTATGTGCCCTCCTGCATCTCCCCGACCGACCCCGTGCACCCCCCAGCTGGCCCCCACCCTTCCCCAGGCGCCCTCTCACAGTGGACAGTGGCCTCCAGGGGCTCTTGGAACCGCACACGCCGCCTGCTCCCCTGCGGCCCCTCCCCACGGCTGCAGCCCTTGGCCAGGCTGCATCTCAGGATGGAGGGTGGACATGTCCTGTGGCCTTCCTGGGGTGGGATAGGGAGCAGTCACCGACGTGAGCCCTTCTGCACACCCTGCCCCCAGCCGGCATCCCCGTGTCTCCTGTTAGGGCTGAACTGTGCCCCAACCCTGCACCTGTGGACGTGATCCTGTCGTCTTGTTATCTGGGGTCCCTCCCTGCACCTGTGGACGTGACCCCGTGTTTTGTCTTGTTATCTGGGGTCCCTGGTGGTGCGTACAGTTGTAGCTCAGCTGCTAACTGAACGGTTGATGTTTGAATCCACGCAGGTGTGCCGTGGAAGGAAGGCTTGCCCTTCTCTGAAAGGCCACAGCCACGTGAACCCCACGGGGCTCGGCCCTGCTCTGAAAGGCAGATGGTGCCGCGACCAGACAAAGGTGGTTCGTTTTGCTATCACACAGGTCAGAGCAGGTCATGTGGGAGCAGGGTGGCTCCTGATCCTGTTTTCTGAACAGAGCAGGCCCTTGCCCCACAGTCACCAGCTCTGCACTCCTTCCCCACTACGTGCCCTTCTGCATCTCCCCAACCGACCCTGTGCACCCTATAAACAGAGCAGGCTGATGTCACCTGACAGACAGTAGAGCAGATGTGTCTACAAGCAGTAAAGGAGCCAAGGATCCCACGGCCACCAGAGGCCAGCAGGGAGGGAGGCCTGCAACCACTCCTCTCTCAAAGTCCAGAAGGACTGCAGTGGCCCACACCCTGATCTTGGACTTCCAGCCTTTAGAACCCGGAGACAAGCCTGCCCTTTGGGGCCACCATTTGTGGCATGTTGATATGGCAGCCTCAGGAGGCTGAGACACCTTCCCTGGGCTCTCTGCCAGGGATGCCATAGGGACCGGAGCAGGGTGTGGGGCTCCAGGCCCAGTGTCAGCAAGGATGGCACAAAGCCAGGAGCAGTCACAGTGGATGCGGTTCTATTGGTGCTGTGGACAGGGCCAGTGACAGGGTAGGTAGGAGGGTGTCTGTCTATGCAGGGTTGTGAGGGCCTTGACCACTTTCACCCATCATCATCATCAGCATCATTGGCAGCACCAACATCATCACCATCATCATCATCATCATCATCACCATCATCACCATCATCATCACCATCATCATCACCATCATCATCACCATCATCATCACCATCATCACCATCACCATCATCACCATCATCATCATCATCACCATCATCATCACCATCATCACCATCATCATCACCATCATCATCACCATCACCATCATCACCATCATCATCATCATCACCATCATCATCACCATCATCACCATCATCATCACCATCATCA